TCCTGATTTTGACTCCAAATGACACAAAACTCAAACCAACGCCTTATAAACATAACTTGACCTAAAATTGAGACTTGCAACACCTTAAATCTAGGAAAACCGCCAAAAGCCAATCTCAACACGCATTAAATGTGTGTTGAAATACGGACTTATCAAATTCCCCACACTTAAGCCTTTGCTTGTCCTCAAGCAAACTGAACAACGGGACTTACGATAATCACCACACAGAATTAAAATTATTAGCATGCACAAGTAGTTAAAGGGATATTCACATAACAGACAGACTAAATCAAGAAAATTCTTCCTTAAACTACATCTTTGTACTCAAGCTAAAATTAATGACAAAATTATTCACAACATCCTCAAAGTAGTGACAATAAGCACTAATAAACTAGCTACCGATCAGAAGGACTTGTGATGGTTGCGGTGAATGGTGAAGAATAAATAGTTCCTTTCTTGAGAGTTTGGAACATCCTAACAAAGACTCAATGCATTCAGGAATTTTAGGGCTATTCTTAGGATCAATGAATTCAGTAGGCCATTAATTAGGAATTATCATCTAAACCTATGCAAAGAGTAGACATGGTGTACAACTAAACTAAACCGTCGCGGCACATTGGTGCTTTGACGTACGCTTGAAGTACGCGAAGGACTAGAGCAAATTTTTGCAATAGCCTCCAAGTTCATTAATTAAGTTTAGTTTCTCTTGTCATGTTGGCACGAGAATGCCATTTCTTTCGAAAGATACCCAAGTCTCATCTTATTGTGCAAACACTTACGCTTTTTTACCGGGGCTCCCATCCCCTTTTTCACAAGGTAAGAGGTCTAGCTATAATAATTTTTCACTTTTCAGATTTTTACTAGACATTACCACATTCTAATCTCGGCCTCACCAAGGAAAAATAGCAATCAAGGTTCATTTATTCAAAGTAAATCCATGCCTACAATGCAATCCTCGAAAGTATCAAATTCCTAAAAAGTGACTGCTCCTACCCCATTTGGGGCATAGGAACAGTGCCAAAAATGGCTCCTACACAAACTCCCTAAACTTAGCAAATTAATCCCCTAGTTCCTTAAACACTAAGACTATGTCAGAACTATTCACAGATAAGGAAACACAGGTCATTTGGCTATAGAGCTCAATTAATTGGGTAAACAATAAAAGGTAAGGATCAAAATAGCTTCTCCTAAAGGACTTTTTCAGGTGGGGTGGATGATTTATGAATTGATTGAATGGGTGACTAATGCCTTCATCCTTTCAACAACTAGATTATAGTGCAAGCATTTTAAGCCCAAACACTTCAAAGATGATCTAAAAGCATAGTCAAAACGTTAGTCAGCTCACAAAGACACAGTTTAAATTTAAAGAAAAATTTTCAAAATTTTTGACCAGACTTTTCAAAGAATATACAACTAACACCTGCAAGAGACTAAGAGCAAGTGCGGCGCAGGAGTAAGAAAGTGATGGGCTTCTGAATTGGGTTAAGTGCATTTCAAAAATTTCAAATCATTTTAATCACTTATTTTATCCTCATAAAAATTAGTCCCATTTTTATCAACTCTAAACTCGAGAGTATTTTTTTTATCATCAAAACAGGCCTCTATTCATATCAAAAGATTCAGGATCATTACATCAAGCAAAGAGAAAATAAAACTGACACCAACTGAAACTCCAACAACTACGACTGTAACCCTATGGTGAGACTTCAGATAATTTGAACACTCAAAAGCACATGAAGAATAATCGAGGATCATATCATATGAGGACTAGATCACAAACTCGCGAGAAACCTTGATCTCAAAGGGCTAAGGGTTAAAAGTTGAGGGGGATTTATAATGTACTGTGGGTGGGGATATTTGCATTCTTGTTTTTTTGTTTATTTCCTTTTTCTATCATCTTATCTTGTACCTGTACTTTTTATTTCATCAATAAAATCTCTTTTTTTAAAAAAAAAAAAAATACTACCTCCACCCCATTATATGTGGTTGAAAAACATTTTACGAAAGAGATGGGCGGCCGAATTGACTTGGCAGAATTATTAATAAAGTGATTGAAAAAGTAAAAGTTGTGGTTGAGATTTGAATATAATAAAGTGAAATATTGTAGACCACATATTTGTTTCCAAAAGAGCAAATGTGACACTTATTTTGGACAATCCAAAAAGAAAAGCAAGACAAGTAAAATGGAATGAATGGAGTAATTGTTTATGCAAACAAAGATTAATGATTATCTTCAAGAGATAAAAAAAATTGAAATAAAACCAATAAATAAAAAAATGACTAAAACTTCTTAAACTATATTAGCATGATAATTTTTTTAAAAAGAAATCGCCTATATTTATAGCATTAGTTTCAGAATCATTACATCAATAAAAGAATCATATCTTACACCAACTAACCTCTAGTAACTACGATTAGGCATAAAGAAGGCCACCCCTGAAAGAGCAACATAAATCGTTAACCACGAAACGGGCTTGACACAACTATCGTTGGTGTTATAGATCCACAAACTTATAACAACACAAAAATAAGCTAACTTTTCAATCATTCCAGAAAACCTAGCAACATAGACTTTAACAAGAATTGAATATAAAAAAACAATAAATAAAAGGATACACTTCTCGAATCCTAAAACCTCATTCAATTCATGACGGTGGTTCATGAGGAGGCTGTACCATCAGTATCGTCGTGTTTGATCATCCATCGCAGACCAAACTCTGACCTTCACCAATCCCATTGCTCTCTAACCGCCGTTGCCCCTGGTGCGTGCTTAAGCCAATGCTCGTCACCATCCTGGTCACGGCACCACGACCTCTTGCGGCCGAAACAAGACCTTCAGCTAGGGCTGTTAACGAGCCGAGCCCAAACACCTAAAGCTCGAGTTCCGCTCGATAAGGAATAAATGGTGTTCGGGTTCGAGCTCGAATCTCGGCGAGCTTTACAAATGAGGTTCGTGTTCGGCTCGATAGGCGTTCGATGTTCGAATCGAGCGCTCAATAAGCTCGATAAATATGGTAGAATTTAAAATTTTAGGTGATGCTCGTTAATAGGCTCGTGCTCGAATGATTCGACAAGTATTCGGTTCATTAATAAACATATTTAAATTCATAAAATCATATTAATTATATTTAAATTTTGATTATATATAAATTATATTTATAATTTCAGGGTGTTCGTTAGGCTCGAGCTCGAACCGAGCCGAATACTACTATGTTCGAGCTCGGCTCGATTAATATTTCGAACTTAAAACTTAGCTCGGGTTCGAGTTCGAAAGCTCGTTAAGCTCTGCTCGTTAGGTTCGAAACCGAGCTCGAACTCGAATAGTTCGATAAAAGCTCGGTTCGTTAACAGCCCTACCTTCAGCGAGGGTTTGCATCATATATACTCACCTCCTCACCTTCCATCAATCATATGCCTTCATGTTGAAGTTGAGAGAAACCAATTCCTGAAAGCTCAAAATTGCTGCTAGACTCATAAAGATTTCTTGTTCACTTAATTGTAATAATGGGAAAACTGTCAAATAGGACCTTCTACTATGTTAAAAAAATCAATTATGTCCTTTTACATTAAAATCAATCAATTGAATCCTCGTACTTACAAAAATGCTCAATTAAACTAATTAACCGGTACAGAATAGGTTTCCCGGTCAAAGCCTACATGGACTGACCACATGGCTATATTTTAATGTTTCTCTTTCTTCTTCTTTTCTGTATGTTCGTTCGCATGAGGGAGAGGAAAATGGCAAAGTTGCAGCCTGCAGGTCATGGCTGCCATGGACAGATTCATCCCTCACTGCAAACGGTGAGGCACAACCAGATCTACAAGGTGATGTCTTGCATGATTGACGCAAAATCGAAGTTGTTTGCGGTGTAAAGTAGCGTCCTACAAGACGTCGGCGGTGTTTTTAGACGCCAGTGGTGTGTGGGTGGGAGGCCGCCGGTTGAGTGCAGAGAACGCCGGAAGTTGCTGGCCACCTGCATAGTTCTCTTAACCTTTCTCCCAAACTGATTTGGCCGAGTTTGGGTGGATGAATTCGAGGCCTGCTTGGATTCCACCTTCTTTAATTTGGTGCTAGCTTCTATCTATTTAGATCCAAGGAAACCTTACGGGTTGGTCAATTGAAAGAAGCTTAATTAAAAATTGATGTAGAACTGCATTCATCAAAGGTTATGAATGTCATAGATCAAGAATCAAAGTCTTTCTTGATTTGCACCCATTTGAAATTAACATATGGTTTCCATGGATGCGGTACGCCGGTACAAGAAAGAAAGAGAAAATGAGAAAAATAAAGAGTCAAAGTCCACATGGACAGTCCACGTGGCTATTTCTAAATCATACCGGTTAAACAACTCAATTGAGCTTTTTGTGTAAGTAGGAGGATTCAATTAAGATTTTAAAGTACAAGGACCTAATTGACTCTTCTGATATAGTAGGGGGACTTATTTGACAGTTTTCCCTTGTAATAATTGAACAGACGTTACTATAACTAAAGTTACTACTCTAATCACATTTTAGTAAATAATGTTATTATAGCCTGAAATATGTAATTATTTCTATCTTTAATCCTTTCATAATTAAGGATGGTTTGATTTCATTTGTTTCCTTTAACATAGATTAGAGCCATAAATAAATCAGATAAGATTAAGATAGATTAAATCACATTGTTTTGGTTAATAGTAAAATGCACTTTATTTTTAATAGATCAAATTGAACTTAGATAGATACTAGTTTTTGTAGTAGAACTCAAATTACACTAAGAGTCTGCTTGGTGATCCTGTTTCAGTTTATTGGTTTTATCAATCAACTTTTTCTGGATTGTGTAATAATAATAAAAAAAGGTTGAAGTTATTTTTTTTGATTGAATTGACTGAAGTTATTGCAAATAATCATTTTAACTATTTTTGATATGATATTTTTTTTATTAATAAAATATAATTTTTATACCACATAATTTTTTTGATAATGTAGGAGAATCAACTATTCAACTAATTCAATTACTAGCCAAACTTGTTAAAGTTTGAGAGAATCAATCAATTCATTACTAGAGGGCTCTCAAGATACGAAGTATGATCGTGAAATTACTGTCCTAGGTGAAAGTGCGTAGCATATCATGCGGAGTACTAATGATCGATGGAATTTATCGATCAATCTCTTGTTTATCCGATAAATAACGACCGGGTAACGGCACAAGCGTACCAGATCCAAATTCCTAACTACCGACCGCTCTATCGAGTGGGAAGCTTCCTGATATAAGTCGTCTCCCAATTCCCCATCTTTCTCAGGTTTGGCGTGATTAATAGAAATTTGATGTTTTTAAGCTAAATTTTACCTTTTATATCTCGAAAGTATCCGTGACTGGATTTCATTTTGTTTAGGAAGATGAGCTGGTTCGGTTGTTGACTTTTATCTTGGAGGATGTTGTGATGGGTGTTTACAAGCACAGCAGTGAACTCTTCCCTGAGAGAAGAGGTATAGCTGTGGTTTTATCAAAACCACTGGACTCTCGTAGAGGTCGAAGACTCCGTCGGATTTCCAAACGAAGTTTATTTCTTTGGGTGCTTCTACTTGTTGTACTGTTCTCTATCTATTTGATAGTTTTTGGATTGAAGATGCACTCCCATGGTGAGTAGAAATTTTTGCCTTTTCCTGTAAATTGCATTCAAACTTGTACATATCTGTGTTAGATAAGTTACCCACTTATGGATTTCAAGGTGGGAGGAATACCTAAGTTCCTCCAGACCTGCTGTCAAGTGAGACTTGTCAATCGTGTTGGGCATCAAACTGTGGACAGTAAAGCCCACATGATTTCATTGATATGATTTACACGTCACTTTCCGTTTGTTTGAAAGTTGTATAACTAATTTGTTATCCATTTTGTAGCTCTTATCATCTACATCTTTCGGGTGCTTATTATGTATTCGCTTACATCATCTCAAGTTTCTTACCTTTTACCAGTGTCATGGCATGTTATATTTTTGTATTTGTAATAATTTGAATGGAAATCCCCAAAATCTTTTGGGAATAAGGCTTGGATGTTGTTGTATAGTAATTTGAATGGAAATGAAAAATCTGACCTACACCTTAATAATCATCATCGTCACCTACGCCTTAATCCCAACCATTTTTATCAGTGGCTAAAATAAAATTTGTTAACAATATTAATTCGTTAAAATATAGTCAAGTTATACACCATACGACTTTCACGTCAAAACCTCTTAAGAAGGAATCATGATATGGAATTCTGAATCCTTGATCATTATAGGTTATTTCTACTTGCATGGAAATTATGATCAGAAAATGGTGAATTGAGTTAGTTGCTTTTGTCATGTCCATTTCATGATTGGTATTGCTACAGATTTGCTCCTTCATTTCCAGTAAAAGTTGCCTAACTGTGACAGTTTTTTATGTGTATGTCGTAGCAAGTAGACATTTTAATGTTCACAAATGTGCTTGACATTTTAGATTCTATATAAGCTTGGTAAAATCTATATGTTAAGCTTTGCATAAATAGACAAAGATTTGCATGCTGTAATAAGAATTATATCAAACTATCAAAGTGTGTGCCCTTTGACATTCTTGCAGGTGCCTTGCAAGATGATAATTCATCTCTGGTAGATATACAGGAAGAAGTTCCCATGTTTAATGTTTCAGATCAAATGAGGAAGAAACCCCGGAGGCAGAGTAAGATTTAAAGCACCCTCTTTCATTAAATTCCTCATATAAAAGGTCCATTCCATTGACAGAGTAACTGCTGTTAATGATTTTTATGCAGTGCAATCGGGTGCACCCATGTGATTTTGATTGAATAAGAGCCCCCCTAACTCTAGTGCTTTCTGCTACAGGGTTAAAAAAACTACCACCCCCGTAGATGTGCTATAAAACAGACAAGAAAACTTCATGTATAGCACCCATTAAACTGTAGAATATGTAAGGCTGACTTTAAAAATTTTGAAGTTTAAAATGGCTACCCAAGAAGCATTATCCCCATTTACGTAAAAAATATAGAAAGCTCTTTTCACTTTTGAAACCAAACTTAAGAACATATTAGATAGTAATAGACAATCAATCATCATTGCTTATAATTTGATGTCTTTGGCTGCAATTTAGTCTCCACTAACCAATCATAGAAATAATTGTAATATAGTGATCTATTCAAAGAGAATGTGTCATTACATGTGTCCTGGTTAGTGGTTAATCACATTAAAATTGTAGATGTAAATTGAACGATTTTGTGTGTTTGTGTGTGTTTATGATTGAGTTTGCTTTTAATTTTCAGAGTTTTTCCCTTGTGGGGTAGCATTCAGAGATTCAGTAGATTACGTTATTGACCCCAATGATTCAGTAAACTTCACTAACTTCTCTTTGGATTACATTCAAAGAGAAGACAGGACCTCTCAAAACGGTGCTTTTGATCTGGGTTTTGGAGGTCACCAGACACTTGAAGAAAGAGAAAAATCATTTCTTGCCATCAACCAAACAATTCATTGTGGTTTTGTTAAAAGTGGTGAAGGTAGCACTGGATTTGATTTGGATGAGAATGACAAGAGATACATGAATGCATGCAAAGTTGTTGTATCATCGTGCATCTTTGGCAGCTCAGATTTTTTAAGAAGGCCAACCAGTAAACTGGTAACAATATCCACTAATTTTCTATGTACAAACTTTTCCCAAGTTTTTCTTTCTTGTACTTTTTATTGAATTGGAGTACTGGACTTGTATGCATTAATTTATGGGTCTTGTTAAGTAAACTGATGGTCAATGCATTCAAAGATGTATGTTTTTAATTCAAAATCATAACTGTGCACTTTTTAACATATCTCAATGCATTTGATTTGCATTCCAATATCAATTTGTCCTCTTTTAATTCCATAAACACGTCCCAAGTCCCAAGAGCATACATTTGCATTTTCCTTGATTTATATTCTAAACTCAACTTCCTGGATGAGTGAATTGTCAATCCATGTTTGGTTGGAAGGTTTGAAGGGGAATGGAGAAAATTGAAGGAGATCTTTGGGTTTGGTTCGGAGAGAGTGGAAGTGGTGCAGTGCAATTTAGTTTTTTTAGTGCATTATGGCTCTGCTATTTTGTGGTTTTACATGCGGGTGGAAACTGCATGGTGCTGCATTATTAGCTCTTTGTGTTATTTATTTATTGATTTCTATATTTGTTATTATATGCTCGGTTCCTGATATCCTTTCCCACATGAACTTTAATAAATTTCAGCTTCAATTTTTGAGTTATCAAGGTTATATACGTAGTATTATTCAACGTTTCACTTGGGATAATTTTTATTTAGATTTAGAATTCATATTTACAGTTACCTATTCTATTCAAGTTCGTAATTATCTAATTTACCATCGTCATATCATAAAAGTACTGAATGCCTAAATTTTCCTAAAGTTCGAATAATAATATTGCTAGCTCCTTTTAATCAAAACAAGGCCTAAGAAACTTCCCAAATGCCTATGTTACTGCCCCACATATTAGTGGTTGCACTGATGTCACAGGTTTTTGCTTTTGCAGATGAGTGAATATTCCAAGAAGAATGTCTGTTTTGTAATGTTTGTTGATGAAGGAACTCTTTCAAAGCTGTCAGCAGAAGGAAATGTGCCAGATGAGGGGGGATATATTGGACTATGGAAGATAGTTACTGTCAAAAACTTACCATACAAAGATATGCGGAAAACTGGAAAGGTGCCAAAATTTTTATCTCATCGCCTCTTCCCTTCTTCTAGGTGATGCTCACTAACACCATAGTCACAGCTTTTTGACAGTTAGTTTACTTTTTCTGGAAATGAAAAATGATTTTTCTTTCTCCACAATCTGTAGGTATTCTATTTGGCTTGATAGCAAGCTGCGACTAACAACTGATCCAATGCTAATTATTGATCGCTATTTGTGGAAAACCGGGTCAGAGTATGCCATTTCTAATCATTATACCAGGCATTGCGTCTGGGAAGAGGTGCTCCAGAACAAGAGACTGAATAAGTATAACCACACTGCTATTGATGAACAATTCAACTTTTACCAGGCTGATGGGCTCACCAAATTTGACCGTTCTGACCCTAATACCCCTCTTCCTAGCTGTGCGTGGTCTCTTTTCTCTCTTATAGTTTCTCCCTCTTTCTTTGTTGTTAATGTTGGCATTCTCATCTATCTACCATTATCTTTTGATATTTTCACTGGAAAGTGTTCAAAGTGAAGTGCTGTTCACTTTGAGAGGGGAGGTCATTTCTGACACCCTCCATTTGTCATTCACTTTCCCTGAAAAGTAAGGGTCTGTGTGGAAGCTAGGTAAAGGGGTATTAGAATATTAAGGTCTTGTATAAGTATCTATTTTGACATTGAAACTGCAAAGAAAATAAAATATGATTACTGTTTCTATACAAATTATATAGTTTTTATGTATATAAATAGTGTGTTTGATCAAATATCTAAGATAATTTGTTTGAGTGTAGCTCCCGGCCTCCCCCTGATAATACAATATTCATCTCCAACACACTCTAGTTTCATCCATGTTTTCCCTAGTATTGTTTTTGAATTCCGAACAGACCCTAAAGTAACTTTATGTTAATGTTTTAAGGTTGACCAAGCTCCACCAAACCTCTAATAGTCTAATGTATATCATGATGAAATTTCCAATTATGGTCACCATAAATATCAAATTGTTTTAGGGTCAACATTATGAAGTACAAACACCCCTTAGTAATGCTGCTTAAAGACCTAATGTTCTGTTTGTTTATGTTACGCAAATTGAAGATGTCCCGGAAGGTTCGTTTATAGTCCGGGCCCACACACCAATGTCGAATTTATTTTCGTGCCTATGGTTCAATGAAGTGGACCGTTTTACATCGCGCGACCAGCTGAGTTTTGCATATACATTCTTGAAACTGAAGAGGACGAATCCAGACAAACCATTCCACTTGCACATGTTTAAGGTTAGGAGAGATATTTTTCCATGTCCTTCACCAATTGCTTTCAGGACGACAAATGCGTTGAACCCATACTCTACAAACATATCTTGATTTCAGGACTGTGAGCGTAGGTCACTTGTGAAGCTATTTCACCACAGGACGCCATCAGCTCCTCTTCTTTCCCAATGAATAGACAAACTTTTGAGAAGTGGAAGTGACTCAACAGGTCACTTTTGATTCAACCACGCAAGACTACAACTTCCTTGACCACGTCTTTCAATTTTTTTGGGTAGCCTGCAGGTGGGGATGTATATGAGGGATTTGATTTAGCTTGATAGTCCAATCTTAGGACCTGTACAATGTAGGTTCTTCTTTACAGTTTTGTACATTTGAAACTTCTGCATTCTTTTTATGCTTATCATAATGTGAATAAATATACCCTCATTAATTTGCTGCTCGCTTTGGGTTTTGCTATTACTTTTGTGGGGTGGATTATGGAATGTGTGTGTAATGCCTCATTTTCAATCTCCATAAATTGTTCTCTCCATGGGATTTTCAAAGGAATAAGAGAGTTGAGTCAACGTGACCCCATGTCACAAACACTAATCTTGATTGCTAACTGACATTTTCTCAGAAGGGCTTTAGTTTCCACCCAAAAATCCCAAAATGTGGAATGTTTGGCATGTCCCATTTGATTTTTGCTGATGGTGTTATGCTATATTCAAGAAGGAGACTACATTCCTTTAAGAATGTTGATGAAATGCCTTGATGATCTACACCACTTCTGACTTATTGTGAATGTTGACAAATGAAAAGTTTTTTTTGGTTGTGGTGTAATGCATGGAAGACCTCCTAGCCCTTGCCCCTTGCTGGTTTCCATGATGGGGTCCTTCCCAGTTCCCACTAGATCTCATGGAGTCCCATTGGCTTCCTTATCATCTGTTGCCAAGTATTCTCCTATGATTAGGCATGGACTCGGTTCGGGCCGGGCCCGGTTCGGGCCGTGAACCGGCCGGGCCTCGGTTCACGGTTTGGGAGGCCCGGAACCGGCCCGGGTAACCCCGGGTCCGGTTCGGGCCGGGTGGCCCGCCCGGTTCACGGGCCGGGCCCGGTTCGGGTCGGTCCTTTTCATTTTTTTTATATTCAAGTGCATTTATTTGAAATAGGAAGTACATTTGAGAATTGAGGAAAAAATAACAATATGAAATACATTTTCGAATAAATATCAATTGGGATTTCCGCCACCGTTGGTTGTTGTTTTACCTTTGTCACATGACTTCATATGTTTCATTGGCATCCCGACTCCGTGTGAACGCCCCAAGCAACACTCTTTCTTGCACCACTTGCAAGTTGCCCACCACAGTCCGGTCTTCGGATCCTTCCACTTGTCAAAGTTGTTTTGCATAACAGAAGAATTACTTTCCATCTTTAAAATGGTAGATGTATAAGTAGAAATGTAGGATAATAAGAGAAGATGAAGATGGAGAAGAGTTGGAGAAGAGGTGTAGAAAATGTTCTTTCATTGTCCTTCCACCACTTAAGAACGTCAAAATCATCCCCAACTTCATAATCAACATTCAATGTTAGATAGATAGAAAGCTCGTTAACTGAGCTTTGTTCAGTAGCGGGAGTTGCTCTACTTTTTTTCATAAGAGAACCAAATGCAGATTTTAAAAGTGATTTTCCTTTAGATGAAGAAGATGTTCGCGGCATGGGAGGGGGTGCATTACCATATTGTGCATAAAATTCATTATACAATTGATGAAATAAATTACTAACCTCGTTGTATTCTTGTTTAGGGTCGATGGGATTATCATCGAACTCTTGAGTTGGAAAAAAACAATTATAATAGTAATCTATACAACTTGGCAACGCGGCAAGTCTATAACGAGGATCAAGAACAAATGCAATACCATATATATGCGGAACATGTGAATAATATTTTAAAAATTTTTGTTTCATGAAATCACAAAAATAACTAACGTAAGCGGCATCGGAAAATTCTAAAAATGCGCCGGCGAGATTAACAGCTTCAACAAAAAATTCGTTTGCGGTAGGTTTATAAACATGACTAAAAGTTTGAGTTGCGTTATTAAAATATACCAAAACATTAACAATTTTTTCACAAGTGTCGATGTCAGCCGGGTTTATAATATAGTTACAAGTTTGTCTTAAAAAAGAAGGAAAATGTTCTTTATATCTAATAAGTACTTGAATTAAGTTATAAGTACTATTCCAACGAATAGACAAATCTTTAGGAAAAGCACAATAATTGACACGTCTTTCCTTCAAATATTGTCGCCATTGCATTTTTAGTGGAGTGTTAGCCCAAATCAATTTAATTCCCCCCTTCACTACCTCCAAAGCATTTCCTAATGCCGCTAATCCATCTTGTACACACAAATTTAGAATATGACATGCACAACGTTGATGAAAAAACCTACCCATCAATGTAGAAGCACCACACAATTCACGCAATCTAGGTATAGCAGCAGTGTTATTACTAGCATTATCAAAACCTACAGCAAACACCTTATCAAGCAAATTATACTCAATTAAAATACGCTCAATGAGAATATAAATATTATCAGCAGTATGACGATCATTGAATTCACGAAAAGCAAGAACACGTTTATGCATATTCCAATCATCATCAATATAATGTGCAGTAAGACCCAAATAATATAAATGATGATAAGTATCCTCCCATATATCGCTACAAATACTAACACGTCCATTAAAGTTTGCGAAAAATGTTTGTAAATTTTCTTTTTCGAAGTTATATTGCCTTATAACTTCTTTTTTAATCGTTTTGCGACTATAATTTCTAAATTGAGGATTTAAAGTGCCTTGAGCATAATCTCTTAAAGCAAGACTTTCGGAAAAAATATAGGGTAAATTTTCTTCAACAATTAAATGAGACATACCAGTCAAATGTTTTTGATCATCATAGGAGAAATTACCAAAGGGTTGAGAATTTGCAAACCTCGATATTTGTGTTTGCTTCCCCTTGCCCTTGTCTATTTTCGCATACTCCACAAGATGGGCGGATTTAAGATGCCTTGTGAGACTCCCGTATCCGCCAGAAGTTCCCAAGCTATACTCTTTGCCGCAATGATTGCAACTTGCGTACCATTTTTCGGTATTTTTGTCTTTCCTCTTTGTAAAATTGTTTTCAATAATAGGAGATTTAGATTTCTTACCAGTTTGGGTTGAACCGTCCTCGTCCTCCAAGTCTTGCTCATCATCCGGGGTGCCGTGAGTCCCGTCGCCCCCCGCGTCCTCCTCCGCATCGTCATCCTCGAGCTCCTCTTCATCAATGGTTGTCGGGATGGGTTGTTCTTGTGCAAAGCGTGGATCGTTTTGGGACAATAGGTTTTGTAGATGCTCGTCGGACATCATCATATCATCTCTCCGTTGGTAATCCGTTTCAAAATCATCTCGACTTTGAAAAGAAGACTCGGCCCGCGCTTTACCTTTGCCTTTGCGTGAATTAGGACGAGTCGACGCAATCTCCCTCTTGCGGTTGCGTTGGAGATTACCCACATCTACAGAATGTCTACCACGTTCCATCTTTAAAATTGAACAAATATTAAATGATATCAAATATTTTATATGAGTACAATAGTAATAATAAAATGTGACTAAGAAAACTATTGCGAATTCGAACTAAAATATGAGTATACAAATCGAACTACTTCTAATTAATACTTTAATGAGAAATGTATCAATTAACTAAATATTAACTAGTTTGACTAATATAAATATGAGAAATGTAAAAATTAACTAGTTTTTTTTTTACTTTAATGAGCAATGTACAAATCAACTAATATTAATATGAGAAATGTAACAATTAGGTAGTTTAACTAATATTAATATGACAATTTTAACAATTAACTACTTTAGGTAGTTTTTAAAATGACAAATGTAAAAATTTACTAGTTATTTTTACCTTAATGAGAAATGTATACTTTAACTAATATTAATATGACAAATGAAAAAATGTACTACTTTTTTTACTTTAATGAGAAATGTAGCAAGTAACTAATATTAATATGAAAAATGTACCAATTAAGTAGTTTAACTAATATTATTATGACAAATGTAAAACTTAACTAGTTTTTTTTTTTTACTTTAATGAGCAATGTATGAAATAACTAATTTTAATATGACAAATGAAACAATTAAGTACTTTAACTAATTGAAATATGACAAATGTAAAAATATACTACTTTAACTATGTTTTTCTTTAAAGAGAAATGTAGAGAAATGTAACAATTAACTAATTTAATAGATAAATTAGAAGTCTAACAATTAACTACTATTATAAGTAATATATAATATAATGTTTATAGTATATAATATATAAGTATATTACTATAAGATGAGTAATACACTTATACTTAATACTTTAATATATATATATATATATATATATATATATATACATATAAGTATATATTAACTAAATGTAATATGTAAATATAAGTAAATAACAATAGTATGTATAAAAACTAAATATCAAATAAATATGAATGTGTATAAGTATATATAGTATATATAATGTTTATAGTATATAATATATAAGTATATTACTATAAGATGAGTAATACACTTATACTTAATACTTTAATATATATATATAAGTATATATTAACTAAATGTAATATGTAAATATAAGTAAATAACAATAGTATGGATAATAACTAAATATCAAGTGAATATGAATGTGTATAGTATATATACTTATATAGTATATATAATGTGTAAAGAATTATAATATGAATGTGTATAAGTATATATTTTTAAATAGATAATTAATATATAAGTAGATATAATAATTATATAAATTATATATATGTAGAAAGAATTTGGAGAAGATGAAGAATGAAGATGATTGAATATGAGAGATTTAGAGTAGAGAATTAGAGAGTAGGAAGAGTTGTAGAAGAAGAGATGTAAAAAATGTAGAGAAAATAGGAGTTTAAATAGATTTTTTTTTTATACCCCACCCCCACCCCCCACCCGACCCCCACCCCACCCCCCTAACCCCCCAGACCCCCCCTCCTATGCTCCCAACGGCTATAGAGCCGTTTGGGAGCCTTCCCAACGGCTAGGAGAGCCTCTTCCAATTTAAAAAAAAAAATTTTTTTTTTTTTAAAATCTGGCCGTTGGAGGCCCGAACCGGGCCCGGCCCGGCCGGGCCGGTTCATTAAAATGGAGGCCCGGGCCCGGACCGCTATACAACCGGGCCGGGTGGCCCGAACCGGTCAAGAACCGGGTGACCGGGCCGGTCCGGGCCCGCACAGTAGCGGGCCGGTCCGGTTCCGGGCCGGTTGGCCCGGCCCGAGTCCACCCCTACCTATGATTATAAAGGTGGATGACTTTATTTAATTTGCAATGGGGGGGGGGGGGTACAAGCTAAGGATGGACCGGACCGGGTTAGGACTAGGCGGGCTTGACCCTAAAAATTTCAGGCCCGGTACCGGCCCAAGTTGGTACTGGGTGGGCTCGGGCCTCGAAATTTCAA